ATGCACGGGGGTGAGGGGGTGTCCCTCAGCCCGGCCTGCACCCTCTCCAATCTGGAACCCCTCGGGGGATGTCCGGCTGCTGGTTGGGATCGGGCCTAAACCGGCAGTCGGACATCCCTCTCACAATCCGGGACCGCTGGCTCCTAACCGCTCACCTGCCTGCCTGCCTGATTGTCCCTAACCACTCTGCCTGCCGACCTGATCATCCCCTACTGCCACCCCCCCCCCCTTCCAGCCAGATCATCCCTAACTGCCCGCCCCTGCTGGACTGATTGCCCCCTACTGGCCCCCCAGCCGGGTTGTTCCCCCAAATGGTGAAACCTTGCGAGGGGGTTCACCCTCCACTCCCCCCCCCCCTCCGCTGGCCTGATTGTTCCCACCTCCCCACCCCCGGCCGGCCTGTTGGCCCCCACCTGCCCCCTCCCACGGGCCTGTTTGCCCCAAACTGCCTCCCCCCCCCCCCCGCCGCCGGCCTGCTCGCCCCTAACCACCTCTGCCTCGGCCCCACCACCATGGCTTTGTCCAGAAGGACATCCGGAAGGTCTCCCAGTCTAATTAGCATATTACCCTTGGTACAGATGCTTTCTTCTTTTTAAACACTTGCTTTACCTGATGCCCCCCTTTCTGATTTCATTTCCTAATTTCTGTTCTGAATATTTTGTTAACTGCATATTGTCGTTTATAATGGAAAAGGTGTATGAGGATGTGGTCTGCATAAAAGAAGCTGAAAGCTCTATTTTGTGATTACCAGAAAATTGAAACACATTTTTAAGTTTACGTGCAGGTACATACTTCCTTATTTTGGGTGTGCATTGGTTGTGTATCATTTCACTGTGCCTTGCAAATGGATATAGACACTGTTCACTCTGCACCACAGACTGTCTGGGGTACCATCTGTCCCGCAAAGTGGCACAGAGTGCTCATTGATGTTGTATTTCATGGGATGTATCCAGGTATTCTGAGCACCAACACAGACTCTACATTTTTGTAACAAAGAAGGTTGAACATAGACTAGTTATGGGAGAAATACTTCTTCCTACCCCAACACATCAGCTGGTCACAGTCATGTCTGTTAGAACGCTGGATATAATCAGCATTTCACACACACATGCACACACAGTATCTGGCTTTAGTTTTGAAGTTTTACCAGACACCAGATTCACTGCATAGCACAAAGCAATATGGAGATCACTGTGAGAGGCTTAAAGGAAAGAGAAAATGTGGCATCTGCATTTATTTGACTGCAATGCAGAACAGCCTCTCAACCCTTCTGGTGACTAAACCAGGGTAACTTCTTACCCCTGTTCCAATTGTAAAATCACTCACCTGCACACACACACCAGAGTCCTTGAGGTGTCTCTGCTGGGGAGGGTGTTCCCTGTCTCCAGTGTGACATGTGGTTCTGTGATGGTCCCTGTGAGCTCCTCCTTTTCCTTGAGTTACCGTCAGGTCTCTAAGTCTCACAGGTGTTTCTCTGCACACTATCTTCTCTCAGTCCCGTGTCCACAGCTCTTATCAGCAGTGTTACTGTGGGTTGGTATGTCCTGTCAGCACCTTTTTTGGTCTTACAGTCCAAAGTGTGACAGCCTTTCCCCACCTATGGCATTGGATCCCTCTGTGCAGATGGAAGGGATGGAAGCAAAGGGGGTGGTTTGCTCTCCCTGGCATGTGGGGGGATAGTGAAACAGACTGGTGGAAGTTGCTTCTGTGTGGACATGTTCCCCAACACATCCTGGCTCCGCATTCAAAGCAGATGTCAGAGCACTGGCAGCCCTCCATAGACTCAGCTGCTTTCTGTGGGCACGGCAACGCAGCGGTCACAAACCCCTTCAGCCCCCTTAGACTTATACAAGCGGAGTTGTAACTGGGGCTCATGTGTCTATGAATATGGGCGCAGGTTTGGTTGGTTGGCTGAGGTTATCACCTACAAAACTGGAAGCAGTTTTGACCACGTATATAACACAGTCTGTTCCACAGAGGTAGGCAGACCTATCTAGGGGCTTTGGGCAATTTTAAGGAGGGAACCCAAAACCCAAAAGGCCACTGTATGGTAATACCCAGTATCACCTCCCTCTCCATGGGGACTAGAGGAAGAAGGAGCAGCCCTTACTGGGAGCTGCCCCACCATCGGGAAGGGAGCATGTGCATGTGCATTCCTTTTTTTTTAGCCACGTACCTACATCAGGGATGGCCACCCAGGCCTGGGTCTCTCTTACTGAGTTTCCATGCCAATAAAGGGACTTAATTCATTTGTAGACATTGTTTCCCTTTTTCCTGCCTTTCCATTTCTTGTATTTTTTTTGTTTTCCTCCTTTTGTTCCTTTCTCACTTTTATGCTTTTTGTCCTCTGCTTATTTTTTTATTTCACTGTCTCCCTGTCCCTCTTCACTTCCAAACTACTCCTCCTCCTCTTTTCTTTTTGTCTTTCTCTGTCTCCTCCTCCTCTTCTTTGTTTGGTCCTTTTTGAAGTTGAGCCCAGTGGCGGGACTCCACGGCGTAGACCTCTCTCCTTCTGCCCTTGCTGTGTCCAGGAAGGTAACGTAACTCCCCAACCTCATCCCCACTGCCTCTCAGGCCATAGTAACACTAGTTAAAGAGGGAGCCACACCCTGCTGTCTCTCTTTCTTTCTCTGACACTTGATAGCCCTGTTACAAAACTTCATGAGTATGTGGCAGTTTCTTACAAGGTACAGTATCCCTTTGACTGTCTCAGGGGAGGAACGGGGTATGGAGTGAAGCCAGAGAGCCTCTGAGGCAGGCCTCTCAGCAGCAGCAGAGAGTCCCACGATATCGCACCACCATTTGTGGTTGGGCCTTTCAGTCTCAAGTCCAGCAGATAGAGGGGCCAGGTTCATGGGTCAGGAACCTCCCGCCTGTGTGGCAACAATTTGTATTGGTGGAGTCGAGGAATACTGTCCTTACAAAGACTGGTCTATACAAATTCCCCTGAGTTCTTTTCCCAAACAACCACTGAAAGCAAACTTCTCTACCCTGTGTCTTGCTGAGTGTGTGTGATTTTTTTTTTTAAGTTTGTCTGATTTGAAGTCTTTTGTGGTGAAAAGATTGTTGTTGAAAAGGCATGTGGGAAGGGGAAGGGGAGTGTGTTCATGACTAACCCTTGCTAACCTCTTCCTGTGCTCTCCATGGTTCTCACATTTGACTTTCACCCACCCCACCATATACTTTTGCTTATTGGCTGTGAACAATCTACCAAAGCTCATGAGTGGTGTTTAGAGGTTTCCCTGTGGAATTTTGGGGAGTGGGAAGGAGGAAGTGGCTTCCTAGTGCATTTACAGCTTGCCACACTGGATAGCTTGCATGCCTCAGGCTCCATCTTCCATGGCCATGTGGGCACACTGTGCAGAGACACTCAGAAAGGAATGCATGGAACTGAGCTGTAGGCTGCTTTAACAGCCAAAGAGCCAAGTCTATTGGGTTGGGTGAGAAGAGCTTTGGTCCCCAGACACTCCAACACGCACTCCACAGTAGCAGGCTCGACCAATAAGAAGGGAGCTTCCATCCTTCAGAATAGGACTCAGGGGCAAGACTTCACCTTGGGAGCCCAGCTGCATGTGCACCACACAGTGCATTCATTAACCCCTGCTTGTATGAATGTGAGTCATTTCTGCCTCTCCAGAATGTAGCCCCATTGAAAGACTAACTGGCTTGGGCTTCGTGTGTGTCAAGCAAACAACATTGCAGAGAGAGAGAGTTGTCTTTGAACAGTATGCTAGAAAGTCAGGTGTGAAGAATGTAGGAAAGCAGTAAGGAGCTTAATACATGAGAGTCATCCCACCTGAGGATGTACTCCATATGTTTCTAGGTCTAGTCTTTACTGGGATAGAACATCCAACCAAGTTACTCATAAAATGGAAAGCACTTTGAAAGATTTCCCAGTGCAGTGCCTCTTCACCTGGGGCCCATGGATGGATTTCAGGAATCCCATGAACACCCTGAAATTCTGTATGAAGTGAAATTGTTGGATGTATATGCATGCATTTTTTTTCTAGGAAGGGAGTCCCTAGCTTTCCTGAGATTTTCAAAATGGTTTGTAATCCAAAAATATTGAAGAACCACTGACATAGTTTGTCATTTGCCTTCAGGCAGGACCACACTATGGCTTCTTTGTGCTCCAAGGAAAAGGTGTTTTCCCTCTTTGGGTAGTTTGATTCCTTGGAAAGTTCTTCTGTCCATCCTCCTGCTACAGTGAAGCCCAGTGGGGTCAGGATACTCCTGGTGGAGGTCTAGGTCTCAGCAATGCCATGGTGCAGGGCAGCCTGAGTTAGGCAGGTGCCAGCCCGGACACTGCTGCTGGGGTTGGGTTGAGCGAGTGTTCCACCTCATTTAGTCTCTAGGCCCTAGGGTCTGCTGTTTCTCTGCCCTCGGTGAGAAACCTGCTAGCCTTCCTGGGATGTACCTCATATACCATATAGGATCCAATGGAAGAGTGTTTGGTCAGGATAAAAGAAATGATGAGGCCCCAAGGGGGCAGTGCCTAGAAAGAGCTGAGTTAGTGAGTGTGACTTAAAAAGAGACCAAGTGTGGTGTATAACCTCACATTTATCTCCGTCATTAGGCTGTCTTCTTCAAAGCAGGCCTAGTACATAGCAAGTACCAAGTAAATATTAAATGGAAGGAAGGAAGGAAGGAAGGAAGGAAGGAAGGAAGGAAGGAAGGAAGGAAGGAAGGAAGGCAGGCAGAGCACTTAAAATATACCAAAGGAAAACCACTGAGCAGGAGAGGTCTAAACTAGTGGTGACCAAGTTACTGAGGGGTGAGGGCAGGCCTGGGAAGGACAAACTCAAAGCACAGGCTCAATTAGGCCCTGGGGGTGGGCATGGCGCCCCCTTCTGGGCGGCAGGCAAACGCTGAACCTGGCTTGGGAACGTTCCTGCAGCATCTCGCTCTGCTCTCTTTGCACATTTGCCCCAGTGTGATGACTCCTGCTGGCCAAGTAGACAACAAACCCTTTGTGTGCCTGACTCTCCCTCTTTCTGCAGGCATGGGCAAGAAGGACGACCCCAAGCTGATGCAGGAGTGGTTCAGGCTGGTGCAAGAGAAGAATGCCATGGTGCGCTATGAGTCGGAGCTGATGATCTTGTGAGTGGACCCAGCTATGAGCTCAGTGCCTATCATGGCAGGAGCACAGCTCCTTCCTAATTTAGGGGGTAAGGAGATATGGTCCCCAAGTCACTGTTGCTTGTCTCCTTCCCCTTGCCTACCTTCCCAGCGCCCGGGAGCTGGAACTGGAAGACCGGCAGAGCCGACTGCAGCAGGAACTCCGGGAGCGAATGGCAATGGAAGGTAAGAGGGGAACACGGCTGAGCTGTACATGGGTAGGCTGGGTGTGGCCTCCTGGCCCTACAGACCTGTCTTTTGCTACTGCCCAGATCACCTTAAGACCGAGGAGGAGTTGTCAGAGGAGAAGAAGATCCTGAACGAGATGCTGGAGGTGGTGGAGCAGAGAGACGCCCTTGTGGCGTTGCTAGAGGAGCAGCGGCTCCGGGAGAAAGAGGAAGACAAGGACCTGGAGGCTGTCATGCTGTCAAAGGGCTTCAGCCTAAACTGGTCCTGAGCTCCCACCCACGCTCTGCTAGCTGGTCTGTGAAATCCGCCTGACCCAGCTGGGCTCTTCCACACCACCTAGATCCAAGATCTGAGGTCTGGCAGCTCCTGGGAGTTTGCACTCAAATGTCCACGTGCCTCTTAAAAAGCAGATCAAGTATCTGTGCTGTGGGGAATCCCAAGTGAAGATGAGTATCTGAGGCGGCTCTGCCTCCTTGAAGAGACTCACTCTGAATTCCTGATCCAGGGAGTGAAGGCCATGGAGTGCAGAGGTTTAATATGGGGAAAAGAAAGTTTCCCAGGGATGCGCAGTAACCGGCGCCCCTCCTTGTGCAGGCACGTGTAATGAGAGAAGGAAGCTGCTCCCCCTCTGTCAAAACCACAGCCACCAGAGTGCACCCCACAGAGAGGAAGGGGCAACTGTCTTCTTCATGCTCCCTGAAGCACCACCAAAGAAACAAAGGAGACTCCCAGGAAAACCACATGTGAACTAAGAGTGGGAGAGGCCGTGGCCAGTCAGGGTGATGCCTATCCTGCATCACCTGGAAGCTGAGGGGGCCCCATTTCCTGAGTTCATTATGTAAGTAAGGAGGATCCAGGAGGAGTCTGCTCCCCAGTCCCACACCACACACTGGACTCCACGTGGCCAAATGCCCCAGGCCTCTCTCTAATTGTGGCCTGAGGGTTGTGTATTGCTGCATTTTGCTTTTAATTCACAACCATTTTAACACTGGAAAATACTGACTTTGGGAGACGGGTGAGGCTCTACATTTCAAGCCCCCAGTCACTGTTCAGTACTTCAGTTGGGGCAGGAGTGATCCTCCTTGGTGTTTTTCCTGCGTTTGCACATTGAAATGAAGCTGACAATCTAGCAAGACACTCAGCCACTTCAAACTCTTTTTTTCAATTAACTTATTTTTTTAATACTTGAAAAAAATTTCATTTTTATATCTTTACTAAAGACACTGATCACCTGGCACCTGGTGTGGAAGTGACAGGTAACCATGCCAGCCTGCCTGAACGCTTGCTACATCCATCTATTTATTAGCTCACCTTTATACGAGTTACTGACCCCACTGACATCAGAAAGCAGTGA